TGAAGAGCCACAATGTTTTACTTTCTGTTAGTAAAGCAGGATCAGTTAAGGGAAGGACCCTTTACGGGGAACTGTCTTTTATTCCTTTGCTTCCTTGAGTAATGCGATGGAAGGTCATGTCACAGGTCATGTCACCCCATCTTACAGGGCCATGTCATGCCCAGACATTTGGTCAAGTTGGTGTCACCCCCTTCCAGCAAGCAGAATCAAAACAACTTGAATAGATCAGAAAGTTGATCACATCCCAGACTCATTCAGGGCGAATAAAAACAGTTTCCTGGTGGCCTTCCAGACTCAGGCCTTCAAAGGTATATATAACCTGCTGCCTTTGGGTGTTGATTTGAACGTCATCATTCTCCATCGCAGCTTTCACACCTTGGCTTCTTGTTCATTGATTTGGAAAGTAACTGACCCTCAGGTCTTTGTCTCTGCCTTGCCCTTTCAGGAGTCTTTCTCTTTACAGTGCCTAGTGTTTATGGCTAGATTTTCAATTCTATTTCCTGAATTATAAACTAGATTTCCACCCACTTTGGTTTTTAAGATCTCTTCTCTCTCCCTAGAATTGTCCCTCCTCTCTTTTCCCTCTGGATTCTTCCTGATATTTCATCTTTGCATTTCTATCTTGATGCTGACAGAAGTAATCAGTATAAAAAGAGCTCAATTATTCAGTGCTGTCAAGTGTTTGGCACTGTAGTGAACTCAGAAGCAAATAAAGATGCTCAAAACACTGGCAGCTAAGGAATGACAGAGCAATGTGAAGTATGTTATATCCCTGTGGTTGAAAAAATGTTCAAAAATATCCCAAGTTCAATGATCATTGGTTACCAACATTTCTAAATCCCACAAGATGAGAGTAGTTTCTCATAATAGAAAGTAGCGTCTTATTCCAAATGAAGTTAAACTTAGCAAACATTTATTGATTACCTACCACAGAAAAAGTATTATGCTAAGTAAGCACTGGGGGAAAATGAAGATGAACAAGTGTCCATCTTTAAAACAGCTGGCAGTTCATAAGAGAGACTGTCATCCCTATGCCTTATGTTCTAGACCAGTGCTATCCAATTGATATTAATGCAATCTACATATGTAGTTTAAACTTTTCTATTAATCATCCTAAAAAAGTAAAAGGTGGCTCATGATTGTAATCCTAACACTCTGGAAGGCCAGGAGTTTCAGACCAGCCTGAGCAAGAATGAGACCCTATCTCTACAAAAAATAGAAAAAATTGGCCAGGTGTAGTGGCACTCACCTGTGGTCCCAGCTACTCAGGAGGTTGAGGCAGGAGAATCACTTGAAACTAGGAGTTTGAGGTTGCAGTGAGCTGTGATGATGTCACTGCTTTATAGCAGGGGTCCCAGAGCAATACTCTATCTCAAAAAAAAAGAGGCTCAGCACCTGTGGCTCAAGTGGCTAAGGCGCCAGCCACATACACCTGAACTGGCAAGTTTGAATCTAGCCTGGGCCCGCCAAACAATGATGGCTGCACCCAAAAAATTGCCAGGCATTGAGGCAGGTGCCTGTGATCTCAGCTATTTGGGAGGCGGAGGCAGGAGACTCACTTGAGCCCAGGAGTTGGAGGTTGCTGTGAGCTATGATACCATGGCACTCTACCCAGGAGGATAGTTTGAGGCTGTCTCAAAACAAAAAAAGAAAGAAAGAAACAAGTGTAAAGTAATTTTAGTAACATTTTATTTAACCAGTATACAGATAGTTCCCAAGTTATAAACATTAAACTTACATTTAATTCACACTTACAGAGGCCATTATAGTAAGTCCCTGAGTTACAAACATCTGACTGACATAAAACTGGCACTTATGAACACACTCTTTTTTTCTTTTGAGACAGAGTCTCACGATGTCACCCTCAGTAGAGTGCTGTGGGGTCACAGCTCACAGCAACCTCAAACTCTTGGCCTTAAGCGATTCTCTTGCTGCAGCCTCCCAAGTAGCTGGGACTATAGGCACCCACCACAATGCCTGGCTATTTTTTGGTTGTAGTTGTCATTGTTGTTTGACAGATTGAGGCTGGGTTCGAACCTGCCAGCTCTGGCGTATGTGACTGGTGCCCTAGCTGCTGAGCCACAGGCGCTGAGCCTGAGCAGAGACTCTTTCTTATAGGTAATAGGTAAATGTACCTGTTCTAACTTACCTATACTTTCAACTTAAGAACAAACCTATAGAACCTATCTCGTTCATAACCCTGGAACTGCCTATATTCCAACTACTATCATGTAATCAATATAAAACTTATTGCAATATTTTTCATTCTTTTTGTCATAGTAAGTCTTTGAAATCTGGTATGTATTTTACTCTAGTACATCTCAATCCAGATGCTAAATTTTCTTTCTTTCTTT